GCGAATTCGTGAAACTGAAATCGTCAATGATGAAATCTGTGCATCGATTCATGAAAATTTTGTGAAAATTAATTTGTCCCTACTAATGTTGTTTTAATCACATTACTAGTTTTAGTTACATCCCAGGCTATTTCATGTAATAGAGAGAAAGTATAAAGATCGGTCAAAAAACGACCCCCAAGATTTTTACATTTTTAAGCTCAGGGACTTGAAACGTCGAGAAATGCAAGAAAATTTTGGGTTTTTTCCTTTATGTATGGATGTTACTGTGTGTGTGAGGGGCACGATTTTGTTCACTTTAAAGCTTAATAACTTCTGTACACTTTGTCGAAAATTGCTGAAATTTTTCAAGGAGGTTGGTGTATTAGGAGGATTGATGCTATTAAATTTTGGTGGTTAAAGGTCGAAGGAATGGGGAGATAATGGAGGTCGCGTGTATCTCCAGTAGGATTGGATGTAATGACGATTTTATTCGTTATTAGCATTTAAAACTTTTTATAAAGCCCAATACTCTCAAAATTAGGCTTTTTGCCATTTTATAATAGTTAAAAATATAAACATTTTTAAAAATAAAATATGAGAATAGATGACGCCAGCAAATGTTGCCAGGAAAATTGAGCAACTTGTTGCTGGATTTTTTCTATTTAAATGGTAACGTATTATTATTATGTGTTCAACAATGACAAATTCAATTAGATATTATTCAAAATGCCGACTACTAATTTATTTGAAAATATCTGTTCATCTATCTATTTTATTTGCAGTGGAAAGATCCTATATACTGATGACAAGTGTTTATCTTATTTAGATGTAATATATTAAGTTCCTTTTACGTTCGGACATATTAATTGCTTTGACCTATAGAATAAATTATTAGTTTTGTTATTTATAAAATTTATGAAAAAAAAATATCGGCTTAATAAAGGATTACTAGGGCACACCAATTTCTGTTTTGTTATATTATTAACCAGAATGTTGTTTCCTATATTACTGTATTACTTCACACTATATTATTCTTATTTTTAGAATATAAATCTAATTTTGAGTCTTTACTGAAATTATTCTTTTCTGATCTATATCGATGAATTTAATACATACAATAAATGAAATAAAATGCTATAATCTAAAACCGGAAAAAAGTTTTTTAAATTGAATTAAGTTATAAATTTACAAAAATAATTTGGAAATTTATTATACGTGAAGCTGTAAAAAATGAAACATAAATAGTTCTAATTATATACTTTGTAAATAAGCCAAAAACATGTGAAAGTTAAAGGATTTCTGATGCTGTTGTGAATCTTTTGACCTGATGAGAATATAAAAATCTGATTTGTTGAATCATCTTTACTGTCTTTGGGCTGGGAATAGTTTACAATTAATTTCCAATCAAGCAGAAACATCCGTTCATCTATTTTTCTGCAACAATCGTCGTCAACAAAACTGTATTTTTTACTCTGAAATTTTAATGGAATTCATTTTTTAAGACCGATATCATAAAGAACTATTTATGTTCACAACAATTTGTTAAAAATCGTATTGAAAGTTAATGCATTTAGTTAGTTTATTATATTCAGGCCTATATCAAATCGTGGTTTTTACGTGTATTTTAATTAGAAATAATAATATAAATGATTNCTGTGGTCTTCTTTAGATCAGATTAGAATAACTGTTTGTTATGAAAAGTATGTGTAGAGCAGATATAGAGATTCCACCAGTTTCCACTGAATTTTACCAGAGCTAATTGTAAAAAAATTTTCTTTCCAGCCAGCTCTACTCCCACAAAAAGATTCAGAAAATGTATAAATTTTATAGCATAAAATACTTTACTGTACAGCAAATTGCTTAGTTTGATGTAAAAATTGCCAGTTTTAAGCAAAAAAAAATGAAACCCAAAAAGTATCACAGTATTGAATAAATATTGTAATTCATTTGACTAATACAGTATATCAAAATTTATTTATTTATTTTACATATTATTGGAACTTCAGTTGACAAAAGATTTCCACCCCCGAATAACAAATTAAAATTATATTAATCAAATGGAATGATAGTTTGATAAGTATATTAAAGGACAACAAATTGTGACAATTTTTTCAATTGTTTGTTACAGAATCTTTATTTCTAATTGTAAGCAGTTCAATTGGTAGTGTAATGAATCATAATAAATTAAATTTGAAAAAATATGAGCTAGATGACAATATCGAGGTCAACATTCATTCATTCATTTAATTTATTAGGTACATTTCCTGGCCCCGTTGTACAGCATTACCAGGAAAAATTTTACAATAAGTGAATATATAGTATACTTAAGATTGACAGAATATCATAAAATAATCAGATAAACTTAAAACTAAAATAACAAAACAAATATTAAAACAAACAGTAAAGTTTACAAACATAAATCACATCGAGGTCGGCAACCAATATGGCGCGCGCTTCGTAAGCGGAGTCGTATGACGTCACGTGCACTCCCTCTATTGGTTAAAATCGACAAAGAAAATGGTGGCCGTCCCTTATCAGAATGCTTCACGACTTCACATCTCATATTTCAAAAGACTTATTGAAGATTCCACTCGTTATTAGCATTTACAAATTTTTAAAAATAAAACTCATCAGTATCCTCAAAATTTGCTATTTTATAATAATTAATAAGTTTTTTCTTATAACAAATCTCATAACAGATAGCGCCACACACAATTTTATTTATTGTGATTAATGATATAAGTTATTTTTAAAATAAAATCTTAACATCCAGAAAGTTGCGCAACTCGTTGAATTTTTTCTTCTTTCGTTATATTCAGTTGAAAACAATCTTGTTCCTAGCATATTATTCAACATAAATAATCTTTTCATTAATTTCAACCTTGAAATATTTATTCCATCATTTGCTATTATGACAGAAGTTGAGAAATTTTCAGTGCAATCACAGATTTTGAGAAAATCTGTTGCAAGTTTTATGTAATGATAGGTTTTAATATCAGTATCAAAGATTTTACCAACATTATAAACTATTTTTTATAACGTAAGCTTTTTTCTTGCTAACCAATAAATATAGGCTAACTATAATTTCCCTTAAATGAAATATTTAAAAATCATGTCAATATTTATATTCGTCTTGCTCGCTATTCTTTAATTTATCAATGTTAATTAAGAAGCAAAGTTTTTAAGTAATTAAATAATAAGGATTTTGTATGAACATATATTTTTATTGAATAAAGCTTTTTTTTTTCTCAAATATTTTTTCCTTATTTTCCTTTGTATATCACTCTCCTACTCATCTCTGAATTTCCATTTATTTTATTTTTGTATATATTATATATGTAATAGCCCGATAGTTATTTCAAATGCCAAGCGAAAAGTCAGATTCTAAAAGTAAATTTAATTAGTTACTTTATTTATAACCAGCTGTATCCGACCACGCGTTGTTTTGGCTCAAAATGTATCTATTATAAATGTATAATACTCCCCGCGGGGGGGGAGGAATTTCGAAAAATTCCTTCTTAGTGTACATTCTCTCGACGTATCCTATTAAAACGCAATCATAAACGCAAAAAAACCGCATCTAAAATAGTATAATATAAGCCGAGTTCTTCACGGTAAGCCTTAATTTTGTCACTCTTCCCCGCAGGGAGAGGAATTTCGACATCTATATAATATAAAAACACGCGTGTATTCGAATGCAACGTTGTGTAAAAATTTCAAAGCAATCGGTTAAGAACTTTCGGAGATTTAAGATTTTGAACAAACGAACATTTACATTTTTATTTATATAGATTATAATATTTAACAAGAGATGGCTGCATAGAGGCCTGCCTGTTGCCAAATTACTTAGTAATTATTTACTCTTATAGCCCGAACATTTAAATGTGAATTTTACATTCTTCCGAATTGTAAATCATAAGTAGATTTAACGTTTAAAAATTTACGAATTCAAAAGAAGTGATATTACAGTCTTTCAACTATTTTTAACGAATGAAGATACGAAATCTTTGCAAATAACACTTTATGGTTATATCGATAGATGGCGCAAGATTGTTTCGAAAACGAAAGATTTGTTCGATTGGTTGGGATAATATACATTTTTACGTCGATATGACGTCATTATTCCAGTTTTCTAATAATAAATTCAATAGAATGACGTTAGATTTATGTAAAAACGTGCACTATTCCAACCAATCGAACAGATCTTAAAATTTCGAAATTTATTCAGATGTGTTCGGATGAAAAAAAGCTTGTTTATAAGAGAATTAACGAATATATTTGCTTTAAAAAATATTAGTATTTGTTTCGTAATAATAACAATAATATTAAATGAAACATCTGATATTTTTATGAAATGATATTTTTTGAAGTGAATTTAAGTAAACGAATAAATAAATATCTATACTTGAAATATTTGATTTATGTAGTATAATTTATTTATGTCTGTCTGTTATACTGTTTTTCAAGGCAATATTTGTTGATACTACTGTAAATCTATATTCAAAATACACCGAAAGTATAGCCTATTTCTCTATTTCTCCATTGTTTTATTTTTTAAGCAACGACATTAAATTTTGCTAATAACGGTTTGTTTCAACTTTATTAAGGCATATTGATACAAAACTACTGTATTAAATAAACTATATTATTTATAAATAGCACATGTCTACATAAAATAAAGTTAACATTTAAAATAAAAAATATTAAAACAGTGAAAAAAATAAATGAGTTTGATCTTATGTTCCCATTAATTATCTGTTTTAATATAAATGATAATCTGTTTTAATGGTAATGTGGCTTATGTAGTACAGTAAAGTATCTATACCTAGTCCTAGAATTTAAAATTACAATGTAAAAGCTACGTAGGCCTATTAATTATTTTAAGATATCTGTTTTAAAATTCAGCTTTGAGGTTTTTAAATAAAATAAAGGACGAATTTTCATTCTACTTTGTAAAATTAACTATTTATTAAACGATTAATAAAAGATAAACAGCAAAATTTGTACATAGATTTTGGTCAGAACTGTAATGCTGACGTCACTACTGTATGTTCGGAATTATTCATAGAATCTCCGACTGCGGGTTGAAAAGCTATGGAAAAAACAGAATTATATGTTGTTTCTCCAAATGAAGTCTGTAAAGTTGTTAATTCGGAATTGATATTACTGTCGTCGGTTATAGTATTGGAAGGCGTCATCGGAAGTGTGGATGTAGAGGAACAAGAAGAATTGGAAGACTGGACAAACACTTCTCTCCTTCTTGCGGATGATATGGGATATTCGATATAATCTTGCAACAAACTGTCTATGGCTGCAAAAAATCTTTGCGAAACTTCCGGATCATCTAACGAGGTAACAACGTAATCATCGAGGGCACTGGGTTCCGAAGTCCAACATGGAACGTTATTGTTAATGGGCCTTCTTATAGGTTGGTCGAGAGCTAATATGTCCGAAGGATGAAACACGTCGAAATCTTCCAATTCGTCTTGGTATTGCAAAGGAGACACATAGCTATCAACAGAACTGACAGCTTCTTGTGAGTGATGTTGCTCATATATCACATCCATGTTTTCTAAATTACTATTGGAGTAGCAAAATTCTATTTCGGAATATGGTTCCTGTCTTTCTCTAGTATTGCAGCAACTACGCGATTCGTCCATCATTTTGTCGATTGTTTGAAATACTGCTTCGTTTTGAACTTCCATGTGTGGCACCATATTCGTATGATCTGAATGATTATAAGTAAGAGATGGATTGTTGGAAGACGATATGTTCTGTTCGTGACAGAAACACTCGAATGGTGGACAGGAACAGCGAACTTCTCCTGTAAAACAGTAATTCTGATAAGTATAGAACAAATATGAAAATAATATATTAGTTAATATAACTATAATAAATTATAATAAAGAAAGCGTTATAAGATGATAATTCTTTTAATACAAGTCAGAGTAAACCTTTTTATTCTCTAAAAGTCGACTTCTTTTACTAAATTAAATTAAAGGCCATAGCAGAATACGCATAGTGAATCAGCCCCAAACAGATAATGGGATGAAATCTGGCCCTAAAGTAGATATCGTGAATTATTAATTATATTTCCCCATATTGGTCCAAATTTCTCGCGAATTTCGAAGTTACGTAAGAAAATGTGATATTTGAATTTTTCAAAATATTACTGTTTCTTTGCGTCAAAATCGCAATGCAAAAACTATGTTATTGCTAGAAAAAATGTTATTTTTTATGTTATGTTATTTTTTTAATGAATCTTTATATTACCCCATATTACACTACAAAAAAATTTCCGATTTCATTTACCAAATGCAGCATAGTTTAAAAAAGTAAAATCTGAAAACAATCGCTAAAAATGGCCCTAAATGACAAGTTAAATCACATACAAAAATTACAAAAACAAATTTTCTGAGTTATCTAAAAAGTTGTGATATGACTATACTGCTGAATTTTTAAATTAATTTTTAGCGCGAAATTTTTGGCATAAAAATGATTTTTAAATATTTTTCTAGAACTATGTTTATGCGTAGTTTATGTTATTTTCACACTATTGTTTGATTTGGTGCAATAATGTATTGCTTGAAATGAAAAATAGTATGTTATTTTGCAATGTGAAAATTATATAATAATGACTACTCACTTTATCCTGTCAATTTATTCAATATTATTCACCAATATTAAAGAGTACTGTACTTATTATCGAAAACATTACACGCTTCATCAACGAGTTGCCACGTGAAAACTTCACGTGGCAACTCGTTGACGAAGCGTGTAATGTTTTCGGTTTTCTTCACGTTTATAACAGCTAAATAGGGGACATTTTTTCATAGAAAGTGCTCCCGAGAAGCATCTGCTCGACAGATCGTCCGCGAGTCGCGTTGTTGTATACAAACAGCAAAACATAACGGCATAATGATAAATTTATTAAAAAATCTTTCTGCAATATGAACTGCGCTTAATAAACAGAATCTTTAAAATTATATATACTATATACAATTTATTGTTATAGTTGATCAGATGGCCGAAGCGATTATGGCTTAAGTCTACCGCTCTGGAGAACCTGGAATCGAACCAAGGCGGTTGAAAAACTCTATGAATTTTTCAGGGTAGTCTGTCCTGGATATGTCGGATCCCAACCCTCACCATCCTCCTCACCACTGTACACCTGGCCGAATCCATAATAGGACTAAAAAATAGGCCCTCTTATTGACAACAGGTCGGAGGATTCTGGAAAAATCTATTGTTTTCATCAGCATTTTTAAACATTTTATATTTTTTAATTTGACCTTTCATTAATATATGATAAAATAACAGGCCAACCAGTTATGCGTTGCAGTTTGTAAAATATCTTATAATATTTCATTTTCACAATTTACTGGTGGCCAAGTGGATAAAACCATTAAATACTGGTAGTTGGTGCTCGCGTGCGTCTCACCAATGAACTGGCCAAGTGAAGTTTTCAGGATTTTCTTCGCGTGTCTAACACCTAAATAGGGACAATTTTCTCTTAGAAACCCCTGTAAAATATGAAAATATAAAATATCTTCCTTGGCAGATCGCCCATGTGCTGTGTAGCCTTTTTCTATCAATCATTTCTCAGTGTAAGTTTCAACTAATCACTAGAAGACTGATCTGTCTAGTGGTAATTTTTTTAATTGTAATTTTTGCTTCATATTTCGTTGATTAGAGTAACTACTATAAAATATAGTAGTTTAAAGCTGAATACCTCGATATTTCAAAAAGAATGATTTGAAATAAATACACTAGAAATGTAATAAGGTTTGTTAAATGTAATTTATTTTATAACAAAGTACTGTATTTGTTTCTTTGTTTTTCATAATATAAATTTGATAGATTGACAGCAAAGGACATAAATCAATTCATTCATGTATAAAAAAGTTCTGTATGTTTCAATTATTGCAAAAATTCTTTATTAATGCATTTTATCCTCCAAGCTCGCTATCATTGCAATTGCCAATTAACAGTGTTCATAATCATTTTAACAATTAAATTATTGCATTTTTGATAGAATATTAAATAGTTCAACATTTTTCTGTTTCTGATTGAAGATTTTGAATACATCGCACGAATAATAAACAAATTCTTAACGTAAAAAATTAACATAAATTTTGAATTCTATAACTTAATACTAACTTAAAATCAGAACGAAAATCGATTAGTGGCACATTTCCATTACTATTTATCAATATTTACATATAAAAATCATATATATATTTAATTATATTACTGCATAAAGCTAATAACTATTTCTTTGAAGTATTGTGTCAGAAATAGAGATTTTACTATTTATTTCAAATACAAGAATATATTTTGATTGAAGAACATTTTTATAAATATTATGACTATACTTTGCTGCTATAACTCGTTTGTTTAAAATATTTTAAATTATTTCTTCTTTTATAAAATGAATTTTTGATAAACTATACTAACTGCTGAAATTGATAACGTATCAAGCAGTATTTAATAACTTATTTCAAATGGACCAATCATTATTCATGTAATGTAAGCTTATAAACAATTTTAAAACAATACTATAAAAAAATAAAGGATAGTAATATTTATCAACAATACATGGACCTATTTAAGTAAATATTTAATTGTTTAGAATTATTCTACAGTACATATCAGATTTACTAATATAAAATAAATAAAGCAATTGATAGATAAAGTAAGATAATTTAAATTGTAATTTATGATTATACTGTAGTCAAAACATAATTTTACAACTGAAAATGATTGCGAAGTCGATTGTTAGTTGAACTTCTTAGTTTCATCATTTGATAAAAGGTATTGTTCTATTGAGTTTACTCGTTTAGTGTTGTTAGTATTTTGTCTACTTTTATTATAAGTTTATTATCATTTTACTACTTTATCTTATCAATAAATAATAATCAGATACAAAAAGCATTGTACTTTGTATTTCTTTTTCTACATTTCAGATTTTTTAATGAAAATGATAACAGGATTATTATAAATTTTTATTTATTGATCGATCAGATTTGAATTTCTTTCAAATTTAAAATCGTACAAAAATTATTGTAAAAGTAAAATAATTATTTTATTAGATTTATTAAAAACCACAAACAATGAAATAAAAAAATTAAATTATTTTTAACAATAACGAATTTTTAAGTTAAACCTGTCCATATACATTTAATTCATTACTTTTATTTTATTTTATTTTATTTTTTAATTTACACTCTCAGCATTTAGAGAAAAGCTTTCACAAAGGAAAATATTTCTTTCAAATATCAGATCTTTGCAATTAATTCTCACAAAGATTTCTCGAATCAATATACAAACTTCACGATTGACGATTAAAAGTTCACGAATTCGCGAACGACGTGCAATAATGAGAAAAAAGTTAGTCAAAACTTTTCACAAAACACATGACATTATGCAGAATATAGGTGACAGATTACCCAAATTAAAGAAAACTTTTTAATAAATTATTATCGCGGTTTCAGCATTATTTCTAATTTTAGATCGTTTCTCTTCCTGTGAGAGAAATGCTACAAAAAGCATATACTGGCTTGCCTCTATTATATCCTATAACCAATGAAATTATTTATTTATTTCAGAAAAATAAACAGTTTTTTTAAAACTAATTTATAGTTTATTCGTTATATTGCACATACTGTTGGGAATTTTGTTCGTGGAGTTGGATAAATTGAGCCAGCAAGGATAAAAAGAGGTGACGGATAAAACTTTTATACGTGTTTATTCATAAAAGAGATACAGACGTAAGACGTTATAAAAGGGTGACAAGTATTCAAAGGGGTCATAGGTAACAAGAGTAAACAAAGTGTCATCGTACACCACATCCTGCCTTTCAGGCGCCAAACTTTCGGCAGGTGACAGTCACATACCTAACACATACGACATTAATTATTACCGTTATATTACTTTATTAAAAATACTTATTGTTATTTTTATACATCGTAGTATTAAAATGTACATCAAAGGAAACCTATGATACCAGGGGAAACGAAACATTAGAAAATTTGAAACCGGGTAATGACAATATGATTGAAACCGTGATAATAGTTCGTCTCACATTTTTATTGAAAAGTTTTCTTTAATTTGTGAAATCCGTCGCTTCTATTTTGCATAATATCTCGTATTTTGTAAAACTTTCTTTCGTTATTACTCATCGTTCGCGAATTCGTGAAACTGAAATCGTCAATGATGAAATCTGTGCATCGATTCATGAAAATTTTGTGAAAATTAATTTGTCCCTACTAATGTTGTTTTAATCACATTACTAGTTTTAGTTACATCCCAGGCTATTTCATGTAATAGAGAGAAAGTATAAAGATCGGTCAAAAAACGACCCCCAAGATTTTTACATTTTTAAGCTCAGGGACTTGAAACGTCGAGAAATGCAAGAAAATTTTGGGTTTTTTCCTTTATGTATGGATGTTACTGTGTGTGTGAGGGGCACGATTTTGTTCACTTTAAAGCTTAATAACTTCTGTACACTTTGTCGAAAATTGCTGAAATTTTTCAAGGAGGTTGGTGTATTAGGAGGATTGATGCTATTAAATTTTGGTGGTTAAAGGTCGAAGGAATGGGGAGATAATGGAGGTCGCATGTATCTCCAGTAGGATTGGATGTAATGACGATTTTATTCGTTATTAGCATTTAAAACTTTTTATAAAGCCCAATACTCTCAAAATTAGGCTTTTTGCCATTTTATAATAGTTAAAAATATAAACATTTTTAAAAATAAAATATGAGAATAGATGACGCCAGCAAATGTTGCCAGGAAAATTGAGCAACTTGTTGCTGGATTTTTTCTATTTAAATGGTAACGTATTATTATTATGTGTTCAACAATGACAAATTCAATTAGATATTATTCAAAATGCCGACTACTAATTTATTTGAAAATATCTGTTCATCTATCTATTTTATTTGCAGTGGAAAGATCCTATATACTGATGACAGGTGTTTATCTTATTTAGATGTAATATATTAAGTTCCTTTTACGTTCGGACATATTAATTGCTTTGACCTATAGAATAAATTATTAGTTTTGTTATTTATAAAATTTATGAAAAAAAAATATCGGCTTAATAAAGGATTACTAGGGCACACCAATTTCTGTTTTGTTATATTATTAACCAGAATGTTGTTTCCTATATTACTGTATTACTTCACACTATATTATTCTTATTTTTAGAATATAAATCTAATTTTGAGTCTTTACTGAAATTATTCTTTTCTGATCTATATCGATGAATTTAATACATACAATAAATGAAATAAAATGCTATAATCTAAAACCGGAAAAAAGTTTTTTAAATTGAATTAAGTTATAAATTTACAAAAATAATTTGGAAATTTATTATACGTGAAGCTGTAAAAAATGAAACATAAATAGTTCTAATTATATACTTTGTAAATAAGCCAAAAACATGTGAAAGTTAAAGGATTTCTGATGCTGTTGTGAATCTTTTGACCTGATGAGAATATAAAAATCTGATTTGTTGAATCATCTTTACTGTCTTTGGGCTGGGAATAGTTTACAATTAATTTCCAATCAAGCAGAAACATCCGTTCATCTATTTTTCTGCAACAATCGTCGTCAACAAAACTGTATTTTTTACTCTGAAATTTTAATGGAATTCATTTTTTAAGACCGATATCATAAAGAACTATTTATGTTCACAACAATTTGTTAAAAATCGTATTGAAAGTTAATGCATTTAGTTAGTTTATTATATTCAGGCCTATATCAAATCGTGGTTTTTACGTGTATTTTAATTAGAAATAATAATATAAATGATTAGAGAAACGGAATATTTTCAAATTATTTACCATTTCGTCTTGGGGGTGGAACGGGAATGTGTTCCGTCCTGGCAACTTTCATTGAATAGTCATTAGATTCCTTACAAAGGCTCCAATCTGTTTGAGCGAAAAACAACTCCGCATCTATTATCTTCCTTTCCCTTCTCGTGCTAATATTCTATAAGAAAGTAATAAAAAATATAAATAAAAAAATGATTTATTCATGCAAAGATGTTTCGTATAGTAAATGCTTGATAGTTGATCTTAGTACCCGCTGAAATATAAAATATATTTCAAAGTTTATATCAATATCGGATGTAAAGCGAGAAATTCTCTTTTCGTTAATCGAACCTCGAATAACAGAATCGAAAAGCAATCTGTTTGGGAGGTATATTTGCTTACTTTGTTCCTTCTGCCGTTCCCCACGAATTGACTTGACAGTTGTATCAAATCGTTTTCGAATCATCGACAGTCCGAGTAATTAGATAGAATTTGTTTACTTATCTCGAAATGTGATTTACTCAGCGTAAAATGACACCGTGGGAATCGTTCGTATGTCAGACCAAAACTTTCAACTTTCTTCCTACCTTTAACAATCGAATTTACTTTCTTAAATGTACTATTCTCTTTTCGAATTAATATAATCGATTTTATTATAATGATTTATTTGAATAAAAATTTTGTGGACATTTTTATGATACTTAAACTATAGGTTTTTAAATGTATGATAGTAAATCATAAAATTAAATAAAAAATTTACTAAAAATGTAACAAATACGTAAAATTAAAAACTAACAAGAACTTAGAAGTTAATCGTAATTATTAGACAAAACTGTGAATTATTTAAGTTACTTTATAATTTTATTTTCTGATCATAGGCCTTCATGTTTAATAATTTAAATTTGAATTTTTTAATTTAAATGTTTAAATATTAATTTAATACATACAATAAATGAAATAAAATGCTATAATCTAAAACCGGAAAAAAGTTTTTTAAATTGAATTAAGTTATAAATTTACAAAAATAATTTGGAAATTTATTATACGTGAAGCTGTAAAAAATGAAACATAAATAGTTCTAATTATATACTTTNATGCTTAAAAAGTAATTTTATAATTAAATCTCAGCATATAATTTATATATATTCCAGATTATTCTTATTTCAAAGAGTTTCCTCTCTTTTCTTTTTTTCCTCTCTTTGTTGTTATAATGAAGCAGCAGTGCATCAGGAAATCTATCACCCGAGTAGTAGCCTACAACACCTGGAAAGGGCATCGCAATCGACTTTACAAATCACGACAAACAGACAAATGACTGTCGAAAAACCTCCTCCTCGGTGTAAAAATTGAGAGCATTATAGGCTTTGAATATCGTGAGATCGTTTGTAATTGTGTTTGCTTTAACATTTGGAAATCACAGGGTTGTGTTTCATTAAACGTGTCCTGTCAGAATCTAAACTACGCCTGGTTGTGCCACTGCTTTAAGGCAATACTTTGCCTCTAATCGGTTCTTAAATATGCCTTCCAGAAAGTAAGAGAAATAAGATGGCGACGTAATTACAGGGTGAAGGTTGACGGAGTGACGGAAACGTGAAGATTAGGTGTAGCAAGCGGCGCGATCTGGATGTGAAAAATCACGTGTAGATTTTTTTTTCTTCTTTCCTAGATCAACATCATGTTAGATAGAAGGTTGAAACTGTTTCTTGTTTGGATTTAAAATAGGCCGACTCCTTTACCTCAAATCTCATTTTTCGGAAGTAAAATTCTTAAATCAGATCTATGTTTTCAAAGCAAAACTTCGGCAATAAAATTTTTTAAAATAACCAGTAGGTTTATAAATTTATAAAACCATCATCTTTTATTTTACATGATAAATTATTTGATCATTTTACTATATTAAACTTATTTTTTTAAATAAAAATATAAAATTGTACTAAAGATTTTCAAGATACAGAATTAAAATACAATATTATAACAGTAAAATTCGTTAATTCGATTTGTAACAACACAGAATATAAATAACGATAAAAATTAGAAATGAAAATTTTTAAAATTAAAACTTGGAAATTTATATATCGCATCTATTCATCTGCAACTAAATAAATAAATCTATAATTTTGAATTGATTGACTGCTTTTCATAAATTAAACAAACTTATAACGCAGAAACTTTTATAATAGTTATTTTTAATAAAATAGGATAAAAATTTTATTTGATTTCTAATATTTTAAAATTTATAAAATTGTTTAAATTTTAATCTTCCAATAAAGAAGAATATACTATATTTAATATAAACACAAAAATATCTTATAAATTTAAATAATTTAGTAAGATATTTTTAAATTTGCACAAACAAGATTTTGTACTTATTAAAAAGTTTATTTTACTTCATAACACCGCATTTGAAATTTATGCGATGACGGTTTTAACCATAATTTGTTTTTGCATGAAAGCACTAATATTTGAAAATGATTTAATCAACAATTACTATATGTCTATTATTGATAATATATTCTGCTTGAATAAAAAAATTTTCCGTTATAATAAATCTGATTGTATTAATGTGTTTCTATTAGTTCAAACTATAAGTTAAAACCAATCGCCAATGATGTGCATGAAGAATTAATTATTCATTTTCTTTTGAATAAAATTAAATATAGAATTTCCATAAAATGTTTTCATGAAACTTTTAGTTTATCTAAATGTCATTTAAAACATTTATTAAGTAAGAAACAATTCCGAAAGGATTTAATAATTAAAATTAAAAAAATAATTATATAGAAGAAATAAGTGAAATTTATTAAAGCATGTCTTAATTTTAATTCAGATATTAACTCCAAATTTATAATATTTATAAATTTACCGAACTGTATGCTGTGTTATTATTATCAATGTATATATTAATTAAATACATTGATATTATTGATTAAATATTTATTAATTTAAATTAAATCGTTAATTAATAAATCATTTAATTATTTGAAAAAATAATTTGTTCTCATTTATGCTATTATTAAATCATTAGTTTCAAAAAAGTAAAGCTTATTTGTTTTTAAAATTGATAAGCAGTTATAATTACCCTGAAAAATTTTTATAACGTAAAACTTTCTTATAAATTTTCTAAATAAAATTTTATACTTCTAGATGAACAAAATAGTCTATTATCTATATAAATAAAAATGTAAATGTTCGTTTGTTCAAAATCTTAAATCTCCGAAAGTTCTTAACCTATTACTTTGAAATTTTGACACAACGTTGCATTCGAATACACACGTGTTTTTATATTATATGGATGTCGAAATTCCTCTCCCTGTGGGGGAGAGTGACAAAATTAAGGCTTACCGTGAAGAACTGGTCTTCTATTATACTATTTTAGATGCGGTTTTTGCGTTTTTTATTGGGTTTTAATAGGGTACGTCGAGAGAATGTACTGTACACTAAGAAGGGATTTTTCGAAATTCCTCCCGCGGGGAGTGTTATACATTTATAATAGATACATTTTGAGCCACAGCAACTCGTGGCCGGGTACAACTAGTTAATAATAAACGTAGAATATCTTCATTATAAATGCGTTAAGTATTAGCCTAAATTACTAAATAAATTTAGTTGAAAGTTCGTAAAAGGAAGACAGACTCGATATTAACAAAGATGTTTTTTGAACATCAAAATTAAAATAATTTGATTTATTTCCATAATTTCTTAAATTATCTTGTTTCGATTTATTCAAGTATTAAATGTACTGTACAAGTTTGTTAAAAACTATCTCGATAGTACGTAATATTACAAGTCTATATTTTACTATCTAAAAACGTTAAACACTAAGGAAAGAACAAAACCGGAACGATAATGGTTTTGGCTGTGAGCGAAAAAGAGATTACAGAGAGTAGAGTATTCAGCAAAATCAGTCCTTTAATTATCATTGGAAGTATTATTAACCGAGTTGACAATCATAATAAAGACCAAAACGAAGAACAATAACTAGACTCTTTACGAACTCTCCCACCCTATAAAATCTTGCTAATCGTCTAATTCTTTAGCAACGATCGACTAAATGATTGCCCACTTCCACTTGACATCAGATTTTTGCCTCTAGGCTCGTTTAAACGAATGGCAACTCAAACTACACAAAGATTTTCTTCCTTTCGGGGTATATACATTCCCCAAATTATCCTGTAAATGGGCTTTTATTATCATAATGAAGAAATGTGAGAAGGAAATATGCACCTTTAAGGCATCGACTTCACGAATGCGATAATTATAAGATCGAATATTATTTGTCACTTGTAGAAGTCACTAACAAGAAGACTTAATTATAAATGCATTAAGATCATCAAAATGATTAGCTGTTGGATCGTGATAACTCAATGAATATTAAGCTATATTACCTGTTCGTTCATTCCTAACTGGATGGCCATCGACTGTTCTTGTAGGTGAGATGTGTCCGGTCTAGATCTCTTTCCAGAAGAGTGTAAAGAGCGACGAGCTTCTGCAGTTGCTTTTGGCTCAGGATGAGGGTGATCGTGAATACCTTTTGCTTGAAAAAAGATGGCGTAATCCGTATGTCTCCAGAAGTGAGTTACAGGATAGCCGCAATGCCCACGACATGATAATACTTCCAAACGTCCGGGACACTTCCTGTTCGGACAAGGTTTTCCTATACACCATACAAAGATTTGTGTTCTTTCTAATAGATAATTAATTGATTTCAAACTTAAAATTTCAATGTAAAGAACGATTTAACAGAGTCTAGAAACTTTTTCAATTTATTATTTTTTTCATGTTATAAAATTTGCTAATATTCAGGAGAGTGAGTTATAAATTAAATAATATTTTCATAAATAATTTAATAGTATAATTCTTTATATGAAAATCATATTTATATTAAAAGTAGACTAATAATATTTATGAATTAAATACAGTTATATATCTATTTAGATGTTTAACTTAATAAAAATATTATTTTTATATTAAACTTTGAAAAAAAAATTTAAACTGCTAATATATAACCAAACTAATAAATTTAATTTGAAAAATCATTATTTTATCATTATGAAAATTCTAAATTAAAAATTTAATTTTATCTATCAAACTTTAAAAATCGTTTAAAAATTTTTAGTAGTAAAATAATATAAAAACTACATAAAAATTAAGGGATAAAATCCTTAAACACTTTAATTTCATTCATAAACACACTAACAAATTAAACATTAAACTTATTGTATAAATAATTAATTAAAAAACTATTAGGCATTAAACAGATATAACGTTTCACAAAGTTGGCTTCTCCTATTTTATTATGACTACCTTGTTGTTTTTTTCTCGCTTTATCACAGATAGCAGGTCTTAGATGAATTTTATCGCCGTTGTCCAAAGTGCATCCTAGAGTGCAAACCAAAACCCCCAAACAAGATTTTTTCAAAATGTGTACGTTGTGATTGTTAGTGTTTCTCATAGCCCAACCACTAGCGTGTCTTCTGGCTTCTTCGCAATCCGGCCGATAAACAAACCTGCAATGACCGTCTGCCCATTCTTGAAAATCATCATAGTTTGTTATCTGCAAGAGTCACATGAATATATGTCATTTCTTTACCTTAAAGTATGTCATCAATAAATAAGAAACAAATACACTTTCAACGTTACATCAAACATAAGTATCTGATAATGTAGAATATAGCAGCAAATTTTGTATAATTAATATTTGTATTGTGTTTTAATTATCTCATATAAAAATCAGCAAAAAATTAAATTTATGATTACAAAGAAAAACTAAAGCATTTTTAAATCTATCATAATAAAAATTTTTATACAAAAATAAAAATAATCACGTTGTGAGAAAATTTGATATTAAATACTTTTTAAATGTATTGAAATTTCAGTTACAGATAGAAAAATTGTTAACATTTAACTAATTTTTATACAAAATGCTATCTTATATTCCTACTTTAATTTTTTATACAGTATATAATTTTTAATAAGATTTAATAATTTTAAAAGATGCTTAATTAAAATTTTATCAGTCCCTTCAATAAATATTCTAGTATAAATAAATGTTAACTAAAATTTTTGAAGTAAAAATATTTAAATATATGATAATATTTTGATATATATTTAACATTTTTTAATATTTAAATTACATTAGAGTTTCGATTACAGAAAACAATAAAGATTTAATATCATTTTAGAAGTTTAATTTTCTGTAAATATTGATGTAATTAAATACTAAACATGTTTCAGAGAATGAATAGACTATATTTCACGATTAGCAATTTTCAAATACTGTAAATAAATATAAAAGACAAATATATTGAAGAATAAACAAACGAATGATAATTTATGATTATGTTAAAAATGTTTATATTTTCGGATTATGTTACCAGCTCAGATATTATCTAAGCTGGTAACATAGTCCAAATTTATCAATTACAATACTTCTTATTTAAAATATGACCGTATATCTTACTGATGATATATTGGACTTATTTTATTCAATAATTATATTTGTAAATAAAAAAAATTATATGGTTCTTATACTCATAATAACAGATTAGTTAAGAAGTGATCTAAAAGAAACGATTAATTTTTTAGCGATATAATATTATAATTAATGTTATTTATTATTTTTTATGCAGAAAAATATATTTAGAACTTTAAAATATTGGAAATATTTGTATATATATTTGGCATATGAATTGTATAGGACTATATAAATTTTAAAAAGTCATGACTTGAACCTATTTCATTACTTATGTTCTAAAGATTGTAAATGTAAATAGAATACTTTAAAATAATGTTCGTTTTCATTTAAATCTATAGTTATGCTTTGGAGTTTTTCAAAATTAACTTTTCATTAAACATAATACAAAATTTCCAAACTCTTTGACCTTCCGAAAGTCGTTAAATGACAAGTTTGTCTAATTACGTTATACCGTTAAGCATGATTAAAGTATAGTAGAAGGTAAAATGCTGCCTCGGGGAAAAAAAAACAGAGTAATAGTTGGTTAACACAGTAATTAAGATCAATCCATTAGATAATGGCTGTTCCACTTTGTACGCACTTTAATGCCTCGGGCTTAATTGGAATTAACCACTTTTCGACGTATGAATGAAACCTACCGATATCTAAAGTATGTATTTATATGAAATGTTTATTGAAAGTAATTTTGATATTTATCACAAAATTATTTTCTCATTTTATATATTTTGCGCGCTATAGTTTATTCATATGAATTTGTATAAATGACAAATTATTAGTGTTAGCCTACGAAGAGAGTGAAGATTTCGTGTTTAAGTAAAGGAAGTAAACAACATTTTTCGATTTTGACAACAAAAAATAAATAAATATTTCAAAATTAAGTTACGTACAAGAAATTTATAAAAGAAAGCTAATTTAAACATATGTACAGTACATGTACTGTACATTTAATCCTCTAAACTTATAAGTTGTAGAACACATTGAACTATTATAAGATCGAATATTATTTGTCACTTGTAGAAGTCACTAACAAGAAGATTTAATTATAAATGCATTAAGATCATCAAAATGATTAGCTGTTGGATCGTGATAACTCAATGAATATTAAGCTATATTACCTGTTCGTTCATTCCTAACTGGATGGCCATCGACTGTTCTTGTAGGTGAGATGTGTCCGGTCTAGATCTCTTTCCAGAAGAGTGTAAAGAGCGACGAGCTTCTGCAGTTGCTTTTGGCTCAGGATGAGGGTGATCGTGAATACCTTTTGCTTGAAAAAAGATGGCGTAATCCGTATGTCTCCAGAAGTGAGTTACAGGATAGCCGCAATGCCCACGACATGATAATACTTCCAAACGTCCGGGACACTTCCTGTTCGGACAAGGTTTTCCTATACACCATACAAAGATTTGTGTTCTTTCTAATAGATAATTAATTGATTTCAAACTTAAAATTTCAATGTAAAGAACGATTTAACAGAGTCTAGAAACTTTTTCAATTTATTATTTTTTTCATGTTANATTCGAAACTTGTTATTTTGATAAATTATGTTATTCAACTAACCTTATATTGTACTTCAGTGTGTAGTTCTATAAAAAATTATTTTTTAAATATAAAGACAAATTCTGGGTTTTTAATCCTTCAGAGTGGATTACACTTAAAAATATTAAATAAACATTTTATTTTCAATATTCAGTGAGTTATAGTTTGTTTTTCTTCAACTAGCTATAAATATAGTCTATCTATAAATAATTATTTGGAGATTGCTTTGTAATTTAAGCTTACAATAAAATTTATTAAATCTATACTGTAGTGTCAAATGCATGCAGTATTTAACGGTGTTCAAAAAATGATACTTGTTTGATTAAAATATTCAAATATAAATAATCTCAAATTGTCTAAATATTAAATATTCACTAATCTATTTAATCATCCTTACAACTTTAATGTTAGAAAGTTTAAGAAATGGAAACATAAAAGGTATATTCATTCCTAAATTGTAACTCAAATTTATAATTTAGGAATTTTAAAAAAATTAAATAAAAGAAGATATGCGCTACAGATAGGCTATATATACACAGAAGAAGAAGAAAGAAAGAGGAAAATCTTGTCATATTGACTATACCACCATCTTATTACAAGATGGCATCTAAAAATTTTGGAATGGAATAGAAACAAATCAGAAATACCATCTCCATGACCTTCATCCTTTTTCAGAATCCTTTCAAACTTTGAAACTCGATACTTCGCGTCTAGATTCTGTTTAAAAAACTCGTGTCCTTATCGACCGTGAACGCCCTCCCCCAACCTCCTACAAAGGTAGGAGTGAGACATCGCTATGTAATCAGAACCACCGCCGAACATACAATGGGATGGGTGGCCACCGTGTGGTAATGGGATTTGGCAAGCTAGGAACCTCCTCGCAGCAAATTATTACTCTACATAACGGTTTCTACTTCTTTACATCCCTTTTAAACTCTCTTTTCTTCTATACTTGGCCCGAAATTAATTAATTAATGATTGGCAATTCAAACATTTCGAAAGATTCTATTGTATGCATATTGTATGAAGAGTATTATACTTTCTTCTAATTCTTCTTTTCTGTAATAGTCAGTGTAGATAAAAAGTATTATTAAGAAAAAACATGGGTATATTAAGTGCATGATTGATATGACAAGTGACGTGAATAGTCGAATGAATGCTATTTATATCTTAAATGAAGAATCACTAAAGCATAAATATAAAAAAGCGCAACTCATCTCTTATCAGATCGCATATTGAAGTACTGTATATATTCATAGATGACAAATAGTGACGTCTTTGCTTTTGTTGCGGTTTTCGAGTTCCCTTCGACCTTTCTGTAGCTAACCTAACTAATCTCGTTCATCGGACTTACGGGACAAAGCAACAACACCCAATTCAAGGAGAGAAAGTCTGAATATCTCTCTGACGTATCTACAATGGCTAGAAGAATCCTTTTATAATTTGGTATTGTCTACATCTATATTTTAATTATACCTTACAGAAGCTTAATACTATCTTCAGTTTGATCGCCTGCTCAACTGTTAGTTTGTTTTAAATAAAAATAAAATATTTCAGTTGGAAATTATCAACTGACATAAAGATTAATATGAGAAAACTGCGCTTCAAATCTAATAAATTCGAAGAAAAATGAAATGTTCTTTCTCGTATTTGTTTCAAATTATTAAAATAATGATTTTTATACTACTTTATTATCTAACTTACTCTTAACCGGTAAACGAAATATGTTCAATAATTTAAATAAAGAAAGCGATTTTTATTGATGGAATTTAAAAAAGATTTAATATGATCGGACTTAAATCACTTTTGCTATGTTATTTATTGTTCAATTTTTAAAATATAAAGTATATATAACGAAGAAAAATGCAGATGATCGCAACTTAATGGATGTGTATACATTATAAAGCTTAACTAAAAAGCAAACTATATAATGATATGTTGGCTAAATTTTCTTATTAAAATAATTTAATAACTTGTATTTAAACTTGTATTTCCTTTATATTTTCTTTTAAAATACTAATTTAGAAAATTTTGGAATCTTAATTAATAATTTTTTGAATAAATTAAATGAAAATATAGGAATTTTTATAACATTAACGTAATGTAACAAAGTATCATAATAGTAAATATGATAAAAAGTTTTAAACATCAATAGTATAATTAATATGATCTTGCGTATAAAATCTTTTAAAAATGATGAAATATAAACTGATTAAATCTTTGTGTTGGTATTATTATCGCGCTGTGTGTAAAATAATTGCTTTAAATAAATTTAAAATAATAATTTATATGTACTTAAAATTGTTTAAAGAAACATAAGAGAATTTAAATACATTTTATTTAATATAAAATATTTTATTCACAATATGAAATACTGTACAATAATTTTATAATGTGAATTACAAAAATTATAAATACTTTGCTAGACAATTGGGTAAAATGTATTATCGAAAATTTAAAAATCTTTGGTTTAAAATTTTTAATTGAAAATAAACCTAAATAAAATCCTATTAAAAATGAAAAATTCTGTTAAAAATAAAAAAATAAATTGTTTAAATCGTATTTATTACAACTTTAATATTTACGTTGTTAATGATATTCAAAATTAATCATTTTTAAAGTAAAACAAGCATTTTTAAAATACCTGAAATTCAAATTAGAATATCTCTCATTTTTAATAATAAAAAAAAACCCGAGAATTTAACTATGGATAATCAGATATAACATATTTAAAATTGTTTTATAATTATAATTATATTAAATTACGGTTTTTAGGTACACATTAAGGCAATTTCTGACATAATTTTACAACTACATTTAACGTGCTATACAAAGATTAATTATGAATGTTTTGATGTTTATCACGCTGAAAATTTCTTTAAAAGATCTTTTATGTAACATGAAACTATATAATAATTTTTTAACATTTAAAAATATTGATACATTTATCAAAATTTAAATAAAACACTTTAAAATTATTATGGATTAAAATTAAAGTCTTTATAGATGATTTCATTATTTGAAAAGGTGATACTTTTTAATTAATGTTTTAAATATGTTATATCAATAAAAAGGCAATATCAAATTTATTTATAATGAATAAATTACAAAGATTCTGTAATTTTATTTTAAATTTTATGCCGAAAATTATTTATATTTCATTTAAGATTTTGTTAATAAGTACGAATTTACTTACAGGCTTAATCTTTTCTGTTTAAATGAAATCTTATGACTAAATTATGTAAGCTTAACCATTTGTTACTGTTTGTTACAAATGTTATTGTACTCTTGATTACAAAATTTGTAAAACATATGACAAATACAATAAACGTAACCAAGAAAAACTTAGGCTTTTTATATAGCATTTTTTGACGAAATACAATCATCAAGCATATATTAATAAAAGATAGAGTATTTATTCAGATATTTATTATTTTGGGTTAGCCCCTTTGAGTTTTTCTGGATCCGCTGCTAAATATGAGTTATAAATTTAACCTATCTTATATATAATTTCATTTATTTATGAACAAAATACTTATATATTCGTTTGTATTTATATACCAAAATCTAGGCTTAGATATAGGCCTACATCAATCTTTATAACTAAAGTTTACTGTTTCGAAAAGTTCAAGTAGCCTATACCACCTACTGTAAAATAGAATATTCTAAACTTTAAATATCAACTGAAATTCATGAATATTTAAACGCGAAATAAAAAGGATTTAATTCCTAATTAATTTAAAATCGACCAATAATATTTGTTTCAAATTTATTGATGCGGGTTCATTAATTCGTCATGTAAATGGTGTTGGACTAATTTTAAAGCGGATACCTTAATTTATAACATAAAAATTTTAATGATAGGCCAATGTTCTTAATTACAGAATCTGTTTAAATAAAAGTTCTTTAAAGTACTTCCGAGTTATCTTGTGATCAGAAGGATATGTGAAGATTGGCTAATAGTGTGAAAGTCGGAAAGAAAGTAGAAAATAGATAAATTAACATACTAAATTAATTATTGAACCAAATACGGATTCTTAACCGAGTTGGGTCATTAGCTGACATCTTATTCGACGGAGGTCAAAGTTCACACGTCTAACGTGACTGACGGGAATTACTTGGCAGAAAGTTATCGTCGATTTAAGAGGATACAATTAGACTAACACTACTTCGCCTGTCCATTAATGGATAAGAGAACATTCAGAAAATTTCTGTAATTTCCATTGGACGTGAGTTAGCAATTACTGGCTGACATTAAATTGTTTGCTTGCGCTACTTGCGGATATTTTGCTCTTTTGAACATGTTTTTTGCTATTAAAACGGAGTTACACTGATTTGATCGCAATTAAAATGTATTTCGGTTAGAAATGTGAAAAGTTTACATTCTATAACATGATTTTATTTGCATTTTGAAAAATGATATGTAGTTTATCTTATACATAACTTTTTAAATTTATATTATAGATCTTTTAAATCTATGAAAAAGTAGCTATACGTGCCAAACTAAGCGTGAAAAACATATTAATTCTTATATATAGACCTATATATGAGAAATAATGGAACAATGCATATTTATCTTTATCCCAATTGCTAAAGAAACGTTTTGTTTTATATACTCAGTTTCTTAAACAATTATTCTTCAAAATATAGATCATTTCCATTAGAGTATACAATGTAATAAAGTATATTTTAGGTACAGTACATGCACCTAGTTTTTCGATTATAGTTTTTAGTTTGTCCTAGAACTTTGCTAAAATATTTTTTCCCTAAAATAATACATACTTTCCTTTTATTTTCATAATTTTTTAGCGGTTAGAGGCCTACATTATTCTTAAATTATCATTTTAGAAACTTTGATTATCATTTGTCGAAGTGTAAATTAATACTTGATCAATGTTTTATTGTATGCATTATAACTTTATTTATAGGTGGAATGTACTGGCTTCACATACTAGAAAACTTACATACAATTTTAAAAAGTATTAAATGATTTATATGAAAAAATAGAGCTTACTAATGAGTTTTGTTCATTTTCTTGTTTTATTAAAACTAAGTGTTTGATTATTATTTATCTATTTATCTGTCTAAGTTTAATGGTCTGAAATTAATGCTTAATTAAAATTTTATTAATGTATAATCTTTACACGATGTAATGTCGCAGTAGTTCTATAAGTTAATAGATTTATGTGAGTTAGCAATTACTGTATGAAATTTAATCATTTAATAAATAAATATATTATATATATTTATTTATATATTAAATATTAAATAAATAAATATATTTATTTATTAAATGATTAGATTTCATACATAGATATTAAAAAGTTGTTCAACTATTTAAAAATTTTGAGAAAAAGGATCGATGTAAAGGTAATAAGATGCAAACTAATTTGTATTCCAATATAAATAAATTTTTATAATGTTAGTCTAACTGAATTAACTAAAGATTTTAGAAAATTTCTCTTATGTTGTAACGTTCATACGGATTTATAATAAAACTTAAATATGTGTACAGAACAGTACAAAATTGAACTTAGTAAATTGGTTAAAGATAATGAAAATATGAAATTCGAGAAAACCTTACACTTATAATAAGTTTGTAAATAAAATAGTTTATATACATCTTATAATGGATGAAAAACTTTTTTATAAATAACTTGTCTAACAACAATAACGATAATAATGATACAAAACTCGCATATTTTTGTTAGGAACTTGCGAAATATTCATACGTTTAAAACATTTCATTAAAAATCAAATATATTAAATAAATTTTCACTTTTAGATTTTTTCGTAGAAACTAGATTATATAATACATAGAAAAATTTATTATTAAAAAATTACGAAAAAAAAAAAATCAATAAAATTTTAATAAAGTATGTAAAAAGTTTACTCACGAGGAAATTTAATAATAATAATAATCAAATTATTAAATCTTACTTTTAGATAAAGAGAAATATTCCATTCATTATGTAACATATTCTTTAATTATAGTCACTATGAACTTCAAAAACTCGATGTTTTATTTTTAAAAAATGTTTGAACTTTATAAAATAAACTATTATTTATATATTTAAAAATATTTATATGACATAAAATTATATTTAAAAAATACAGATAAAATAAAAATATAATTTAAAATACATGTAATTGCATTGTTACATATGACAAAAAATTTTACAAAAGCACAGCTTAATTCTATAGAAAACAATTTTGATTTGATAAAAACGCAACAACGCGATTGAAAAGAAATAAATTATTGAAATCTTACCTTCGGAATGTTGTTATCATTAATGTCCCAATCAGCGTGTGATCCTTTGCACATGGTCATGTCCTCCCTGAATCTTCCAAAGCGCTCCCTATAACCGGATCACCAAATAAAAAAAGAATGAGTCAGTCACATGACCTACACGTCACCGTTTCGTCATTCGAGACACGTTTCAACCTCATCCATTACGCCGAACACGTGCCGACTCAACGATTGTTGTTGTTGTGTAGATTTTGAACACTCACCGCGACCGTTTCTTGTGACAACTTTCTGTCGATTGTCAACCCACCGATTCTCTCTCTTATTGGATGATGACAATTGCTTTATATTCGATGTCATGTTTTCTTATATTTTGTTTCGATATTTTAACAATATTAGAGTATTTTATCATTAGACATAAGTTGTTTAAATATCTTTCTTGAATACTCGCAATCATCATAAAAATAAACTGAGAAGTAATTTTTTTTTTTAAATTAGTAGGCCTAAAGTGCAAAGTCTAATATTTTACAATGCAGTAAAGTACACTATTTTAACTATATATACAGGTCTATTAGTATTATATAATATAAACTGCATAGAAACGTTCCATTTGCTTATTTTTGATATAAAGAACACAGCAAAAAAACATGTAAAAAATGCAATAGTAATGATATTTAAAGTGTTGACCTGGTATATATTGCACAAACCTTATTAAACTAGTTTAGGAAAAAACATAATGTATAAAAAAATATTATAGAACTAAATTAAGTTATAAGAACCTAATAGGTAAAATATAACATTTCTTTATAATTGTAATAAAAATTTCCTTTAAAATATTTAAAGTATGAAGAAGGAAAGTATATATTTAAAGTGTAAAAAGTAGTAAATTATAAAACTTAAGTATCTACAGCATAAAACTTAGTAAAATATGTTAATTTTATATTTGTATTATAAAATATACGTATTTATAGCTTTTCATACATTTTGATGACAAATTATTTTACTCTATTTAATTAAAATCACCAAACCGTTGTTGAAAAAAGCATCTTGTTCATTCACCCCTGTACACCGTATTGAAAATCTAGCAGCACTGCCTAAAATAACAATAATCGGTGGTTGATCGCGTTAACTTGTCAGTTGATAGTTAATAGTCACTCGTTATATGCTAATCAATTATAGACTGCCAGTTACATTTGATGAATTGATGGGTCCCACCTTAAACAGCGGGATTATAGGGTTGACGCTTAGTTTGAGTGCGATATTCTTAGATGCACAAAAAATGAGAAGATATGAATAAAAATTATAGCCATGATTTAAATCATGTTAAATTGTATTTAATTAAAATATTGTCATGTTTTATAATTAACTTTAAAAGAATCCGATATTGATAGAATAAGTTTTAATTTAGTTTAGATATCTTCTTTAAAATTAATATATAAGAAATCATCCTTAATAAAGGAATATACTTAGCGTGATTTTTATATTAAGGTTTTAAAATATAGAATATTTGCAGTTTCTATGCGTAGCGCAAATATTATTATAGGTCTATACGACGTTTCAGATATTCGAATATTACATAAATTCTTACACTATTTTTAATCACCAGGCCTAATAAATTTAGAGAAAATTTTAAAATACACTTATTTTATTAAACTTTTTCTATATAAAATATAATTATTTTAAAAATTAAGTGTTATCTAATTTAAAACATAAAGCTTACAGTTTTGTTGAGAAATCTTGTTTTAGTTAATCTTAATTACTCCGTTGATCATTTAATATTTTCTTTTGCTGAGGATTCTAAAATGAAAAAAAAGAAGTATTTTGTATTATTTAATATAATCATTTTATTAAAAAATTAATTTTTGTGAGCTTAATTTAAGAAAGTAGTACAGTAGGGATAAGCTTTCATAAATGTGTGCATTAACAAAAAGTAGCGCGTTAGATTTTGTAAGCAAAATCTCATTTAATTAAAGAAACTTTTATACATTTTTCCTATAAACATCGAAAACACTTATCTTAAGAATGAATTTTCGAAAAAGTTCTCCTTTGCACAACATTATTTTGTATTTAGTTCATCACGCAATGAAAAAAATAAAATGTAGAATTATTGTATATGTTTACACATTGTAGACAATAAAATTACATAAATACTCTTTAAATTCTATAAATTTCAATTGACTTCTCAACTTTGATGTATTAGAAAAAGTCAATTCTTAAAGGCCTACTTTAAGACAGTTGCGTTCATAAATTTATAGTGAGACTTCTGATTTTCTAGTCATCTAGTGGGTCTAAATTTACATGTTTAAGCTATAAAAGAGAAAATATACAAAGCTAAAAAAATAATTACCACATTTTCCATGATGAGCGATAACCTTTTACTTCAATAAATAATATTTATAAATTAAATAATCCAATTCTATGAATACTATATACATAACACCTAACATCGTAACTACCTATTCCGGAATCGACGGGAGAACTGCTCGGACATATGGAGATAGGCGAGTTGGCCTCGAGTTTGCGAGTCGGAAAGAAGATAAGCTTGAGCGAATCATCCGATAACCGCCCCACTTTAGCACCCGTCGATTCGTTGTTTCGACTTAAGCTAATGCTGACCCGACTCGACCTATGTGAGATAGCGATCGTAATCCTAATTATGGTCTAGAGAACCCAGTTTTGGTGCTACCTCGGGGGTCTTACCGCCGTCGTGTAGGCCTATAAGACTAGTGGAGCGTCGGTGTGGCATCCCCTTCCCCCGTGAAGATTGGCAGGCGCAAACATTATTTCTTCAATTGATACTCCCAAATAGACAACAAAAATACTTCTTTTTCGGATAATAATCTCTTAAAGAATTTAAATCCACAAATTGTAAATTATAAACGATTCTGGCAAATGATTTGATAAACTTTTAAACTTTGATAAATGTTTTGTTAGAATCGTTTATAATTTGCGTTATTAAGCTTTTATTTATTTCAAATGATAAGTGATCAATTTCTAAGTTAATAAGTTTTCGAAATACTTTAATAGTTTTCGAAAACCAATTGAAATAAAAACAATTAAAGTATATTCGAACGGAAATTAAAACTATAACTGATTTAAACAATAGATTTATAAATTTACGTATTAAAAATGAAGTTAATTAACTAAGTTTTTAATCTTTTGAATTTAATTAATATTTCTTAACTCCAATTATCACCAACATAAACAAATTGAAAAGAAAATAAATTAATGTAAATCCGTTTTTAGTACACCAAAAGTAGGAAAAAATATGTCTTAATAGCTATTTTAATTCTTCCGAAACTAGATGACTTCATCTACTTTTATAAAATAAACTACAAAAAATTTGTCTTATATTTAAAATTCTGCTATAACTAAAAATTAACATTTAAATAAAGTTTATATTTTAGTTGAATTCTGTTAATAGTAATATCAAATTACGAATTTTGTAACTTAATAAACTCATAAATTAAAGCATTTAAGGTTATTATTAAGCAATGATAATAGCTTAAAAACTTTCGAGAAAATACATTTATGGTTTAACAATCCGTATTTAGTTAATACAGGAAGAAAGTTAATCGGTACAAAAGCGCAGCGATGACTTTTTCTAAATGGTTTAAGCCTAGAAATTGTTAAAGCCTCCCTTTTGCCAGAGGCTCATATTATGGAGCTATTGGCACCGGCTAACTTGACCAATGGTGCAGATCACGACAGCAGTCTGGCCTTAGTTAATGACAGATGTGAACAAGCGAGCGGTTCTTTAATAGTTGTACCTAAGTAATCTATTAGCTTATTATGCTACAATTTCGCTCTCAAACCAAAAATTCGTTGAGATCACAGCGGACAACTGATCTATTATATACTTTATCGATAAGAATGGGAGTAAGGATTTTTTTTTAAACTAACGAATTAAAGATATTAAGAAAATCTAATTATCACTTAAAGTAGCTCTTTATTATGTAATACAACAGAGTTAAATAATGTTTTGTTTGATTTCTCGATTAATAATATTTTAAATTACATTTTAACCTAAAAGGCAGAAAAAGAGATATTCATCTTCGACGTCACAGAGATAACCATTGTTCTCGGGTCAGGATTCCATTGTGTACAACAATCAACTACACAAGTCGTAACACGAGGAGAAAAAAAAGGAAGAAAGAAAAAGCATCAGACACGAGAAAAGTTTTCCTCAAATCGTGATAAGTAAATGACGAAGTATTGAATCGTGAGAATTTGGTCTCATGAATGAACCGCCATCTTACATTGTCTAATATGTTATATGAGATTAGCAAAATTATACTGAAGCTATTATGTCCAACTTTCTAAGCGTGGAAGATTTTTACCGCATTTTCTCCAAATTCTTTTCCTTTTTTTTATTTGGTCCTATTCGGACTCTTTACATATATAAATTTTACAAATTTAGACAATTCTAAGTTTTAGCCTATTTAAGTAAGCCTTATAATATACAGTAATTACTTTGTAATATTAATATAAATCTTTATGCATTAAACGCCTATCTTCTGTCTTTTTTTCTTTCTATATATCCAGTTTAAGCAAAGTGGACTTGCTTATTATAGGCATTAGCTCATATAATTTTTCTTTATTATATAATTTTTCAGTATCATTTAAAAGTATTTAACATATTAAAAACATATCAATTAAACTGTTACATTACATTTTTAAATCAGATATTTATTATTTTGGGTTAGCCCCTTTGAGTTTTTCTGGATCCGCTGCTAAATATGAGTTATAAATTTAACCTATCTTATATATAATTTCATTTATTTATGAACAAAATACTTATATATTCGTTTGTATTTATATACCAAAATCTAGGCTTAGATATAGGCCTACATCAATCTTTATAACTAAAGTTTACTGTTTCGAAAAGTTCAAGTAGCCTATACCACCTACTGTAAAATAGAATATTCTAAACTTTAAATATCAACTGAAATTCATGAATATTTAAACGCGAAATAAAAAGGATTTAATTCCTAATTAATTTAAAATCGACCAATAATATTTGTTTCAAATTTATTGATGCGGGTTCATTAATTCGTCATGTAAATGGTGTTGGACTAATTTTAAAGCGGATACCTTAATTTATAACATAAAAATTTTAATGATAGGCCAATGTTCTTAATTACAGAATCTGTTTAAATAAAAGTTCTTTAAAGTACTTCCGAGTTATCTTGTGATCAGAAGGATATGTGAAGATTGGCTAATAGTGTGAAAGTCGGAAAGAAAGTAGAAAATAGATAAATTAACATACTAAATTAATTATTGAACCAAATACGGATTCTTAACCGAGTTGGGTCATTAGCTGACATCTTATTCGACGGAGGTCAAAGTTCACACGTCTAACGTGACTGACGGGAATTACTTGGCAGAAAGTTATCGTCGATTTAAGAGGATACAATTAGACTAACACTACTTCGCCTGTCCATTAATGGATAAGAGAACATTCAGAAAATTTCTGTAATTTCCATTGGACGTGAGTTAGCAATTACTGGCTGACATTAAATTGTTTGCTTGCGCTACTTGCGGATATTTTGCTCTTTTGAACATGTTTTTTGCTATTAAAACGGAGTTACACTGATTTGATCGCAATTAAAATGTATTTCGGTTAGAAATGTGAAAAGTTTACATTCTATAACATGATTTTATTTGCATTTTGAAAAATGATATGTAGTTTATCTTATACATAACTTTTTAAATTTATATTATAGATCTTTTAAATCTATGAAAAAGTAGCTATACGTGCCAAACTAAGCGTGAAAAACATATTAATTCTTATATATAGACCTATATATGAGAAATAATGGAACAATGCATATTTATCTTTATCCCAATTGCTAAAGAAACGTTTTGTTTTATATACTCAGTTTCTTAAACAATTATTCTTCAAAATATAGATCATTTCCATTAGAGTATACAATGTAATAAAGTATATTTTAGGTACAGTACATGCACCTAGTTTTTCGATTATAGTTTTTAGTTTGTCCTAGAACTTTGCTAAAATATTTTTTCCCTAAAATAATACATACTTTCCTTTTATTTTCATAATTTTTTANTGTGAATCGCTGTTTAAACTTGCTTGTCAACTATGAGAATCTTGTCGTAAAATAGCTCATATTAACTTTATAAAACCTCAAAAAGTGATTTAGTAAAATTTTAATTAAACTTTTTTTATTGTCATAAAGAAGAAAAATCCTACAAGATATCGTCTTAGAGCCATTTCAATTAATCTCTATCTCATGAGACATACATCGAATCTAAAATGACGCGATAAAACATCCGAGAAAAGTAGATTGTTTGGAGACAAGACGTCCTCAACATTCACCACTCGATTTTCTTAAAGCCCGTAATCATGAAGTCCCAACTCGTTTCAACGGCTTCTTTCTTTTTTTGTTTTTGTGATGCTGCTACCTCTTAGTTGATTTGCTAAGTTCTACCCAAAGACGGTATTCAGATACGAAACGAGCGATAAAACGTTTAGCGTGAGGCTGCATAGAACGAGGATTTCAGCAAATTAAACATCTGATCCCGGACACTTCGTAAATTTTAAGACGTTCCATTTCCTTTCTGATCTTATCTGTACAGTTTCAAGCGTTTCTTTGCCTCTGCTAATCCTTGCAAAGGCGAACGGGATGAGATGTTTTCGAGTTACGGGGTGCTCTATCGTTGGAGTTAAAGCCGTTTTTCTCCCTGTTCACTTCTCGAATGGGACATAAAAAAGAACCGTGAGACAAGGTGTTTGTTAGATAAGAGATCCGAAATTAAGTCGTTTGGCGACGCGT